ATAAGACTTTAGATGTAGGTTATATTATTCTTGTGGTCTATGTGGATGATATTGTGATAATAGGGAGTGACTCACAAGGGATTAGCAAGTAGATGTTTCTATAGGAAAGATTTGACACTAAAGATTTGGACAAACTTTGGTATTTCCTTGGAGTAGAGGTTATAAAAATAACTACAAAAATCTCAATGTCACAACATAACTATACTCCAAATTTGCTTGAGGGGATAAGTATGTTGGGATGCAAACAAAATCCTACACCAATGGATCCCAACTCTAAACCATTCTCAAATCAAGGGGAATTTGTTGATGATCCTGGCCAATATAGAAGGCTAGTTGCAAAACTCAGTTATTTGACCATAATTGCCCAAATATCTCTTTTCCTATTATAGTTATTTTGCTTATGAGCTCTCCTCATATTCCTCACTGTGAGGCGGCTTTCAAAATTCTATAGCATCTTAAGTCATCATTGAGAATGGGAATAATCTATAGAGATCATGAACATTTAAGTATATTGGGTTTTACATACGTAGATTCAACTGGATCACCTAAAGAACAAGAGATCTACAATAGGATATTGTAATCATGAACATTTAAGTATATTGGGTTTTACATACGTAGATTCAACTGGATCACCTAAAGAACAAGAGATCTACAATAGGATATTGTACCTTCTTAGGTGGAAATCTGATTTATTGGAGAAGTAAGAAATAAAATGTGATGCAAAAGTCTAATGTTGAAGTTGAATAACAAGCTTTAAGTTAGCAACATGGAAGTTAGTGTGGCTCAAAAATTTTATTCAAGAAATAGGGGTTCCTATAAAACTTCCCGTGTATCTGCATTGTGATAATCAATCAGCCATTTATATTGCCTGGAACCCGGTATTTCATGAGAGAACAAAACACATTGAAGTAGATTGCCATTTTATAAGGGAGAAGGCTCAAGATGGTGATATTGGTACTCCATTTGGAATATGGGAGACCAACTAATAGATTTTTGGATTAAACCTTTACATTGCCCATAGATTGACTTCATCTTAAGTAAATTGGGTCTATATGACATATACACTGCATCTTGATGGGGAGTGTTCAAAGAATTGATTTATGTTAAGTCTTGGGAGGCAAGGTACTCTCCTACTTTTAGAAGAAAATAAGGGTGCTCCAATCCTAAAATTATTATAAATGGGGCACTATTTTTCTTGCCCTTGTTTTAAATTAATATATATATATGTATATATATATATATATATATATATATATATATATATTAGGCTTTTGGAATTTTTCTTCACTAAACTACCCCTCCTCTTGAATTTGGTTCATCTCCATTGAGAGGGCAAAAAATGTAATTAAAATAATACTATTCAATACATTTAAGAACTTCTCATTAAGTTTTACATTTAAGTCATTAGATAATCACATTCTCCCATTGAATCCAACATTTATACTTTTGTTTGTCATTATTAAATTTCGTTAATAAATTCATACACAATAATTATTACACTCTCAATGATGGAAACTTGAACTGTCAATAATGGATTTCACCTGTATTTGAAATTTGATTTTGTAAAATGTATTTATGTGCTATATACTACTATTTTATAAAAAATGATTGAAAAAAGTTTTAGTCCCATAATCTATCTGAGCAGAGAATGTGGCACTAAAGCTCATAGCTAGGGGAGAGGTCCTTCCCTATCGGGTAGTGTTTTGATCATTATGGGCCGAGAGGTTAAGTGTAAGAGATCATTACAAGGCTGATTACTTGATGGGCTTTGTCTTATATGAGTCTGTTATCCTTGGGTTTTCATGGGTGGTTGAAACCAATGATCATTTAGATGTAAATATTGGGCCCAAACTAGACCAATGGTAATTGGGTCAGGGGTTCATTACCTTAAGTAGTGAATTCGGCCGAGCCTCTTTTAGAGGTTGGGTCGAGCCCATATGTTCTTGTGTAAGATCATTGTGGGGTCATATGCCATACAATATTAGGCCTAAAGTGGCCATACAACACCTTGGGTTGTAAGCCTATGAAGTAAATGGGCCTAAGGCCCAAAATTAATAAGATTAATTAAGCAATGTGCTTTGGGTCGAATCTAGGTCTAATATTCGGTATGGAGCACCTATGTTCTCAAGAGGATAAGGTTTATCTCTTAATAGAATCTAGATCCAAATCAAATTTTGATAATCTCTTAATTAGATTAGGAGAGTGCTCCATAAGGAGATAAAAGAGAAGAGGGAAAAACAGGCTAGGAGTCTTCACACTCGTGCTCTCTCTTCTTCTCCCTTGTCTTCGAAGAAACCCTAATTCAACCTATGCTTTCAAGAACTGGTCTTTTTATTAGTTTTTCTTCTAGTTTTTGTAAGAAAAATATTAAGGAAGATCAGGCTCACTCACCCCCTTCGATCCAAGCAAGTTGGATAGCAATTTTGGAGAAAACAGTGTTGCTGAACTGGCTTCACCTATACATTACACTATCTTCAGTGGAGGCTGATTTTAGGACTGATTTGGGCATGAACTTTCCACCTTGGGATCTGCACTTGTGCAGTGCAAGATCAATCCAGAAAAATATTGTTTTTCAAAACACTGTGAAATCGGTTCCTAAAAGGGTTAGAAATATTTTGAAATTTTGCCTAGACACCTAACATGGTTCGGCCATCTATAAGATGAATTCTAACCCTTCTGAAAAGGACATAATCATAGATCTAGAACAAGATGAACTTGCAACAAAAAAAAAAAAAAGTAGATGGAATGTTGAAAATACTATTCATTCATCAAGGAAATGCTATCCGAAGAAAAATAAGAAGAAAAGCATCAACACTAAAGAAGGTATTTGAAAAGATAAGGGAACCAAATCTCTAATACCTTTGATTCTGCTCTGACATAGAATGGCGATTATATGATCAAATCCCATTGCTTAATTCTTTTCTTAAACACCTCCTAGGAAATATGACTATTCTAACATCCATACCAGTTAATAAACTCCTTTTGCCTTTAATGAAAACCTTCTCCAACCCAAACTAGTTTTAACAAATAAAACTAATAAAGAACCAATTTTATTGGTAACTTCAAACGTGGATTATAGTGAGAGATGAAGTTGTACCATATTGCTCCCACATAAAGACTTACAACCAGAACTGCTTGCATGAGATCCTTGCTGATTTCGCTCATTTGAAGTTTTTTGTACAATTTGTACCTCTAATTGTGGAGTCTTAGATGAATTGGAACATTTTCTAAAGATTAATAAAAGACATTGGTGGCCCCTTTTTCTAGGCTAACTTTGCTTTCAACATTATCATGTCAATTAGAAATTGCAGTGGTGATTGACGGGTTGTGCAACAAGTGGGAGAACCATCTATACATTGTCAAAATCCCCATAAAGAGAAAAACGTTCTATGGGTAATGTTCCTATAGATTCTACTTTTCTATAATATTTTAGTGGTTCCAAGTTTCAAGTGACATTGCACATCAAGACAATGAGGCACCAAAGAAGCATAAAACAAAGGGTAGATTGGTTTGGCTTATCCAGTCACCACAATAAAAACCCACAAATAATATATTTTTCTTTATTTACCTAACTTAGTTCTAGCAGTGGTGTTTGCAACGTTGAAGAAGAAGAAGATGGAGGGGAGAAAGAGAGAGAAGAAAAAAAAATGATGAAAATGACATACTTTGAAAGTTTAATGTATAGTTAGGGATACTTGTCTCTTTTACACTTAATCTGTTAAACTTAACCCTAGAAAAATCAACAAGGTATATATAGTTGTTTTTAAAAACTAGGGTATGTATAAGTACTTTCTTAAATATATAGGATATATAATTATATATAAGTAATTAACCCTAATTATTAAGAGAGTGAAATTTTATATTTTTAAAATACACCTAGAATTAATGGGCCGGTGGAGTACCTCTTTCTTGGGCTGAAGAATTAATGGGCCCCTACACTAGGTCCCACCATGATGGGCCAAATATGTAGCCACTTATTGAATCAAGACTTTGACGTCTCTTTCTTTTCATTATCATTTCCGCTTTTTTTTTTTTTTTAATTAAGAATGCCTCCTTGCTTATATGCAAGTAATTTTGGTAAAATAACGCCTTAACCGAGTTAATGGGGAGGGGATCCTTCTCTCACGGCCAAAGTTCAAAGGGTCTTTGTCAAAAAAAAAAATAATACTGAAAAGTCTTTGCCACTAAAAGAATATTTGTAATTTACCCAAAATAAAATTATATTGAAACAAGATTAAGATTAAGATGGATGCAGCAAATCATAACAATCTTAATTTCAGCTTTTTTTTTCCAAACAAACAATATGTTTTCAAGGAATATAATCATTTATAAGAAAAGAATACACAATATATTTGATATTATTTTCAATAATATCTTTCATATTTATATTTTATTTTCACTCGTTTTTAAACCTGATATGCACTTACATTTGCACGTGCCCTCGGTTAGGTCTGCCGACAGGAGTATTATGACTATTTTCACGAGTTCGCATCACCGGCCCACTGCGCCTGGCCCCACAACCTTCCCACATGATGTGCGACTGACACCTGTCCAGTCGCACGCGGTGGGGTGGTCCCGCATTGACATTAACGGGACGGACATTAACCCTGTCCGTTAGCCCCGAAACGAACTCAAAAGACCTTGCGAGCTTTTTCCCATATTCCCACGCCTTAAGCTCAAATCGGAGGCTCTGACCTCCATTCTCTGCCCGAAGTCGGATCTCCGCCCCCATTTCCGGTACCAGCGATCAGACGTTCAAAAATCCCGTCTTCAATATGACTGTAACTTGCACAAAATTCACACCAAGTTGCTACCAGAGGAAGTTCCAGAAGCCAATGCTTAAGGAGATGCAAAGCCTTATTTGTCAAACATCCCAGGCTTATTTTTTTCCCCAAACAATTAAGCTTTTGTCCTCAAAATCCTAATAATCCAAATTAAAATTCCAAATTGTAAATGACAAACAAGGGAGGGGAGAACAACAGAACAGAGAAGGGGCGCCGGAAACAGTAACACTGATTGAAGTTAATTTTTTTCCTGTACAAGGACCAATCAAGCAAACTGTGTGACCATGTGACAACAGTAGATAGTTAAGACCCCATTTGCTTGTAAGGAAGCTAAAGCAGAGTATCAAAAACAAAATCCCCTCCGTCACAGGCAAACCCTACCAGGTCCTACTCACCTGTCATCTGTAGAGAAATAACACTCAAAGGACGACTTACAACGTAACCCAGTGATGCAAAACACATCGGAGTGGGGGAGGTGGCCGGAGTGATTGCCGGTGCCGGAGAGGGAGGTGGAAGAGGGTAAAAAAAAGTCTCTGATTTGAAAAGAAAAACAAAACATCAGATGAGAGTTTAATGAAAAAATCAAAACCCCAGACAAAAAACGAGGGTCAGAACTTATCTAGTGACAGGAGCGATCGCCGGTGCTGAAATTGGGGATGGAGATCCGAGCTCGGGCAGAGAAAAAGCCCTTTTGAGTTTTTGGGGCTAACGGGCGGGGTTAACATCCGTCACGTTAGCGTCGCACGCGGGAACGCCCCACCGCGTGCGACTTACAAGTGTCAATCGCACGTCGTGTGGGACGATCGTGGGCGAGGTGCGGTGGGGCGGTGATGCGAACTCCATTTTCACAATTGTATCAGATTTCTCGATCCACATGGATCAAACCAACGTGGTGATGACCTCACCTGCACCCTACTCTTCCTCCCTTAATACAAAGAGTTCTGTCATGAAAGCAACCAAACGCAACAAGCAACTGAGCAAATAGCCAAAAAAAAACCCAAAGAAGAAAAAAGACGACGAACCAAACCCCGAATTTAAACCTTGGGGAGCCTCATAGAAAAACTGAGATGCTGAGCTAATGGATATATAAGGCATATAAAGGAGCACTGTTAATACTGTAATCACCAAAATTCTCTCTCACTCTCTATCTCTCTGCTGCTGCTCGCCTTGGAGCGAATTCATGGCACCACAACAGCAGTCACTGGGAAGTTCTCTCTTGGTACCTTGCGTCCAAGAACTGGCCAAGCAACACCCTACCACAGTCCCACCCCGGTATCTACATCCTGATCAAGACTCTCCAAACATCTCCAACACCGATCTGATTTCCACAATTCCGGTTATCGATTTGCAAAGCTTACTTTCTGGTGAATCCATGGACTCTGAACTAGCTAATCTGCATGCTGCATGTAAAGATTGGGGTTTCTTTCAGGTATGGATAGAGGCCATATTTAATTTCTCTGATAAGTTTCATCTATTTCAGGATACAACCAGCACCCAAGAACTTACCATATACAGCCTATGAACTCGTCTCCCTTTTCAGTTAAAACTCAGTGTTCACAAGGGCATTAAAGGAGATAATTCCTAAAAATAAGGAATCTCAAATGCAACCTTAGTAATTTCATTTTGGGATAATAGCATAGGGCAACTTTTGGGCCCTAATATCAGTAAAAGTAATATTTTAAAAAAAATTCAAAAATAAGGTAACTTTTGAAGGGTAGAATTGCTGTTCATCTTCCTCTTGCGGTCTATTCACCGGCACTGCTGCCCGCTGCTGCCTCCGCCTATCTCTGCCCACCTCCGCGTCCGCCTCTAGCAACGTTGCCAGAGGTGGGTAGAGGCGGCGCTGGTGGTTATTTCTTTGCCCAACGCCGCTACTGTCGGAGGCGGCGACACTGGTGAATAGACTGCAAGAGGAAGAAGATGAACAGTGATTCTACCTTTTATTAATATTATTTTTTAAAAGTTACCCTATTTTTTATTTTTTTTAAATATTACTTTTACTGATATTAGGGCCCAAAAGTTGCCCTTATATGCTATTATCCCTTTCTTTTTCTTTGATCCATCCCTTCTGGACCTTCTTTTACCCCAACTTCTATCTGCCCGCTTCATTCCATGAAAAAAAATAAACATATAGAAGAGAATATCAACAAAGGCTGAGAAGACATTAAAGTTATGTTTGGTTTGAAGGAAAAGGTAGGGAAAGGAAGGGAAAGATAAGGAAACCTTTACAAATCTTGTATGAGTTTCTTTACTTTTCCCTTCCTTTCCCTACTTTTTCCTTCAAATCAAACACAACCTAATTGTCATTTTCTTATCTGAATTTAGGTCTCCCTCACTCTCATTTTTTGTTGATAAATATAGTAAAATTTAGGGATAACTAAGTTGCACTCCACCTTAGAATTCTGAGTTCCACTACAAACCTACAATAATTCAAAATTTCAAGAACCTCCACCTAAACACCAATACCCGCCCATGTATTGGCATCAATTCCGAGCTAGCACTTACCCCAACTGTACGGTAGAACTAAGATTTGTGAGGTGGATATAAGAAAAAAGATTTGGAAAGAAAAAAAAATTGGGCCCAGAGCTCGGGGCCCAAAACAAAAACAAAAAACCATGGTTTTTAAAACCGAACCAGTCAAGGATCCGGTTATCGGCTCGAACGGTTCGACTATTCGACCCGAACGGCCAGCCCGTTCTAACAAAAAAATTAAAAAATAATTTAAAAATTAAAAAATTTTAAAAAACGATCAAAACCATTCGAACAATTCAAACGATTAACCAGTCAGTTCAGCGATTTTCTGACCAAAATCAACGGTTTTGAGAGAAAAGCAGGTTTGGGGAAAAACGGAACCGGTGACCAGTTCCTGATTTTTCCAGTCCGACCGTCCGGTCTGGTCCAGTCGGATTTTGAAAACCATGCAAAAAACTCATCCAAAACCTATATACAGCAAAACTCCAAAACAAACCAAACTCCTGCCTATCTCCAAAAGAAAGAAAAACCTCCCTCGTAAGCTCAAGCAACCTAAAAACAAACCTCACCCCAACTTCTGTCAGAGATACCATACCTAAGGTCTAGAGCCAAACTTGACTCCACCTCTTCCTTTTCTGCCTCTGACCCAGGAGGAGCTCTTGCCTCTAATTTCTTTCTCCACCTCAATCGTAAAATTCCGAAAGCCTTCTCAGTTTTTGGCTCCTAAGTAGAACATATTAAAGGCTTCTTCTGCTTCATCTAGTGACATTCCCTACCTCTTCTAGCTCCAAGTCTGGTCTCAACCTGACCTCTCTCCTTTAATTTCCTCCTCTCTCTCTCTTTCTCTCTCTTTCTCTCTCTTTCTCTCTCTCTCTCTCCGGGTCGGTTCTGGTCTGGTCTCCCACACTTTCATTCTCATTTTAGGGTTTATTTAGGCTCAGTTTGAAAGGAGTGCAAATACATAGATGTAGAATGCAAAGTAAAATTGTGACAAACAGTTTCTAGAACCGGTAGAAACTGTTTGTTTTGAAAAACGAAATCATACATATTGACAAACACCTCTATGATAGCAATTTGTTTCTAAATTCCCAAGTTTGAAATCAAAGACCACAATGACAAACAATTTCTACACTTTGTTGTGAAAGTTCATTTCCAACAATGACTGATCACACCCACAGAAAAAAGATTACACTAGAGAACATGGCCTCTAACTATTGAAATTAAACTATGCATGTATTAATTATATTGTGATATCTTGAACTGATTAAATGTATTGCAGTTGGTAAACCATGGAGTAAACCCTTCGCTGGTGGAGAAAATCAAGTTGGAGATTCAAGAGTTGTTCAACCTCCCCATGGAAGAGAAAAAGAAATTTTGGCAATTCCCTGGTGAAGTAGAAGGATTTGGGCAGGCCTTCGTCGTATCAGAGGACCAGAAACTTGATTGGGCAGACATTTTTTCCATGTTGACTCTTCCAATCCATCGGAGGAAGCCACACTTATTTCCCAAACTCCCCCTTCCTCTCAGGTCTCTCTCTCTCAATTTTTATTTGTTGTACTTCATCCATCTAGATTATCTTCAACAATCAAAATACTTTTCTGCACAGAGACACATTGGATTCTTACAAGAAATGAAAAGGCTGGCCATGAATATTCTAGAGCTAATGGCAAAAGCTCTAAAGGTGTAGGCCGGAGAAATGAGAGAATTGTTTGAAGATGGGATGCAGTCAATGAGGATGAATTACTACCCTCCATGTTCAGAACCAGAAAAAACCATTGGTCTTACACCTCACTCAGATGCCTCGGGCCTAACCATTCTGCTTCAAGTTAATGAAATGGAAGGCCTCCAAGTAAGGAAAGATGGGATGTGGGTTCCAGTTAAACCCCTTCCAAATGCTTTCATAATCAACATCGGTGACGTTTTGGAGGTAATACCTATATGTTTATTCTTGTGAAAATTAGTGGTAGGGCAATTAAGTATGTCCTTGATGTCATTGCCATTTTTCTCCATGCCATCTAAGCATTTTATCCTCTCTTTTGCTTTTTCTTGTTTGGCTGAGTTTTTTTAAACCATTTCAAACAACACTCATACCCTGGGTTTCATGATAGTACCTCTTGGAGAAAAAACGTCATTTTGACATTCCTTGCAATGGAGAAAACATTCCCTTTTTTGCCTACATGCTGCTTAATTGGCATCAAATAATATTATAAAATATGCACAAATTCAGAGTACTTTATCAAATTTCAAGGTATGAGCGAATAGTAGAAAGCACCGGTGACATTTCCGGTTAGGAGCACGTCAAAAGGTAAGTTGTCTTGTCACCGTACCTGGTTTTATTATGTGCTTTGTTTTAAATTCACCTTTTCTCCGATCAGATTCACCTGAAATCGTTTTTGCTCCCATTGCAAAGATGAATTTTAAACAATCTCTAACCGATGCGATCTGAAATCGTTTTTCTTATATTATTTTGTTTGCATTTGTTATATATTATGCCAAATGGGTGGGGTTTCTTCTCTAACTTATGTTAAGAAATAGTTTCATTATCCAAACGTTATTTCTATTCTTATAGAACAAAAATTCGTTCTTGAAGAAGAAATTGCCAAACGTATCTATTATTCCTGAAGAACAAGAAATAAAGTTCCTGTTCTGGAACAGAAATTTCTAAAAGAAGATGAACAGGTGGAAACATTGCCAAACAGGGCCTAAATTTAATCGAGAAAGCCATCTCTTCATGGGTCTGAATAACTTCCCCCTATAACTGCTTGTTCCACAATGTCTTTTTCATTGCTCCGAGTTTCTTTGAACATTGTTATTTGGGGTCATGTGACAGATGTTTACAAATGGGGCATACCGTAGCATTGAACATCGGACAACCGTTAATCCGGTGAAAGAGAGGCTCTCAATCGCCACATTCTACAGTCAAAACGTTACGTTGATGGAGAAGTAGGGCCAGCACCAAGCCTGATCAGCCCAGAAAACCCAGCATTGTTCAGAAGAGTCACGGTTGAGGAGTACGTCCAAGGCTTTCTTGCTCGAAAGCTCGATGGTAAGTCATACATTGATGTCATGAGGATTCAAAATGGGGTAGGCGACAATATATAGCTGAGTTAATTTTCGCCTATAAATCTAGGGATTTAGATGAATAAATGAAAATAAGATAGATACCCTCAATGAAGGGATCTGGTCCTCTACTGTTAGTCACTAGTGCAGTTTAAAAGAATTTCTCTCAGTAATTTTCTCAAACAACATATATGCATGATTTCCCCTTCTCTGTATCTTTAAAACCCTTATTTTTTTTGCTTCAATGAATATCTTACAATGAAGGTAGATAAGTGATCCCTGGATGCATCCCTATGTATTTAGGCTATCTCGGATAATATGCACCACTAGATGTATTTGGGATTTTAACTAACATAGGTTAAATTGAAAATAAACGACTTTTAATAGAGAATTGCCACAAAAATGGTGGTTTTATATTTATGGATTAGCCTCCGGTTTAGTTTTTTTTCAAATATCAATGTTTTTAAAAACAATTCAGAATCAGAATCATTCTGGCCACCGGTTTTCGGGTCAAAAATTCAACCATCCAGTTCCAACGGATGGCCCATTCTAACAAAAAATTTTAAAAATTAAAAAACTATAATTAAAATAA